TGGCCTCTTGTCCTCCAGAGGGCCCTTCCCTCCCTCAACACTTGGCCTACTTGCACCCACCCATCTTCAGCCTCCTCAAAAACCCTTTCCTCTGGACCCCCTCATGCAATGCCTTCATTCCTGTCACAGTCATTGTCTTCTGCCTGTGACGGTCTGCCTATGCGGCTGTGTCCCCTGTTAGAACTTGACCTCCTGGGGAGCAAGAACCAGGCTTCTCTCTGTCCTCCAAAGACGGGGAAATAGTAGACACTCTCAAAAAGTGTTTGATGGATGAATAAATAATGGACGGATGAGTAAACACATGCCATGTCTATCCCCTATTCACTGTTTTTCTGAGATGGTGAGATCTCTTCGTCCAAACGGGACTCACTCATTTCTGGTGGGTGACAGTGAAAAGCTTTCATTTGCCCAGTAAGTCCCAGAACTGAGAAGCTGCTCTCACCACCCACCCACCTTTGCTTCCTGCTGCCTTGACCCAAGCCAGGAACCCACCAATCTCAGTAGCCTCATCTCTTCGAACACACAGCCCTATCTACCTCTTCGTCCCAGTTGCCAAATAGCCACAAAACCATACACCACAGAGTGACAGTTAGTCTACTTGGGGCTTAGGGTCATCCACCTAGAAAATAAGCACTGTCAGGAACAAGCTTCACAGCTCTGGGGAAAACTCAGTTGAGTGCAAAGGCAGCCTTCGTGGTTCCAGGGGAAGTTTGGCAAGAGGACAGATGTAAAATAACTGTGTGCTTTTTGGATGTCAAACGGTCGTTTCTGTGGAATAGAAGAGCAAGCTCTATGAAAAGTGGGACTGCTGTTCTCTGAGATACTTTCTGAATTTGTTTGGATTGTTGCTGGTGTCACCCTTTTCATATCCTTTTTATATAATCCATCATGCTAAATATAAGAAAATAAGCTCACTCGGTCCACATAAAATGTATGTACCAGCATACCTAAAAGGAGTCTCTTTTCTTCAGGACAAACTGGACCTATTAAAGTCGTGACATAAATGCTGGGGGAAGCAGATGAGTGCCTAACAACCACGTTCCTTCTTTCCCTCTTCAGCAAAATGTAGGTTTGGATTCTATATGAAAGTCCATCACTAATGGCTGCTGCGGGCATACTGGTTGCTGGGGAACACGTATTGGGTGTTTTTCTTGTTTGAATTGGTATCTTGTAACTTTATTAACCGAAGGTGTTTTTTTGCGGGGGTTGGGGGGAGAGTTGCACTATGAACAATTACTTTTTTTTAAACTAGGAACTTGAGAATCTTTCTTAAAACTATGCTTGTGCTATCATAAAACATACATAACATAAAATCTACCATCTTAACCATTTTAAATGTAGGTTTAGTGGCATTAAGTACATTCACAATGTTGTGCAATTAGCACCATCATTCATGGCCAAAACTTTTTTGAAGAATTACTTTTTTGAAACAACATATGATTGCATCTTTAAATAAAATGTTGCCATCAAATATAACTTTTTACCCCCAAGAGTATACAAAGCATTTTAGACAGCAGTGAAACAGTTCTCCCTACTAGAACTGCATATTGCTATGACTGCTAAGTAAACAGTAAATGAAAGTGAGATCCTCTTAGCCTGTTGAGTTCCAGAACAGGATCAGGAGAGGCTTAGGTTTATTTGGTTCAAGAGTGTGGGCAGGAAAATTAACACCAGCCTTCTAGGAAGGGCCTCGGGAGCCTGGCTTCCTCCGGGAGAAGACTGGATTTGCTGGAGAGCGGGAGAGAGACGGGCAGGCATGTCACCTGCCGCCCTGCCTCCTCCCTCGCTGACCTCACCTGCCCTAACCCAAGCTCACCTGGCCGCTTTCAAGGACAGCGCGGGCCCATTCGTGGGCCTTGTACAGCTCATGCCGGCGGTCTGGTTTCTCCTGGAACCGAGGCTCCTTTTTGGCAGGGTCATCGTCCCCAAAACAGGGAGACTGTGCTTTGGGGACAAGTTTTACATCATCGACAAAGATGAAAGGTTTGAATATGGACCTGGAGAGAAAAGAGAAGCACTTCAGCCAGACAGAGATGGGGGCCCAGGGACACCCAAAGATTGTCCTTTATACAGCAAACATTTCCTGAGCCAACTTATGATGGGGGTGGCTGGGGAGTGGGTGCATACCAAGACAGACACAGCTATTTTAGTAAAGCTCGCAGCCATTTACAAGCCACAAATTCCTCTATTTACAGCAAGGAGACATCAAAACAGATTTCCTTTGTTCTGGGAGGACCATTTGAGAAGATCCTTTTAGTGGTAAAAAGGAAGGCAAATAGGCACTGTTCTGAGAAAGGGTGTAATGGGCTGCTATCTGAGCTGAGAGGTTTGCCCCTTTTTCTCCCATGGCTTGCTGGGAAACAGCTTTCTAGAAAATAAGAACCTACTGGGTTTTGGTTTGGGTTTTTTTTTTTTTAGGTTCTACCTTATAGAAAAGTCTTTGGACTATCTCTGACAGACTGAAGGAGGGGACAGATTAA